TCAGTTATGAGCTCTTAAAGTACCAGAACAAACGCCTAGTTACTTCTCGTAATTATTTATTAATGTTAACACTCTTGAGGTTTTTTAGTCGTCAATTAATAATTATCAATTGAGTCCTTTGGTTTATTGCTAGTTAGTAATAATAATTGATCTGTATTCTTTAAAACTAAAATGACGAGTCAGACCGATACAAAAAATGAGGGATCTGTTGGGGGTGAATTTATCCACGGTTGATAAGTTAATCAACGGGACCAAAAGTTAGCAAGTGAGTCCTCGGAGGAGTTATTTATTTCTAAGCTGTGAGAGGCTTCAAATACCTATCCTTCGCTCAAAGGTTCCCAGGTATTAAATTCCCAGCTCGTTTAATTCGATCAATCAAAACTTAATCAGCTTCCTCGCGATCAAACGAGCTTCCAGTAATTAAAAATTAAATAAAAATACAATTTTTAATTTATTTATACTACTCAAAAGTCTCTTTCACGATCTAACCAATCCAGCTCTGAAATCCTCTGAAAAAACAGAAATGAATAACTAACCGAAAATATTTATTCAAAAAACGGCTTCTTTAGAAAAACATTATCGCCGCGACGGACAGCCCGTCTGGCAGCTTATTGAGTCCCTGCCACAGATAAAAAGTGAATAAACCCGAGTAGAGTAAACGGAGAATAAACAAAACAACCCCTCACCCCCCTCCTCGCTCAACAGCGACGTTTCATTCTTATTGTCGCGCAATCAGACTATCCTGCCCATCCCCGTCCCATTGTTTGTCATTCACCTTCTTCATAGGCTCTATTTTTATCATCCCCTTTCCCGCATCCACACTCATTTTCACGTCCTTCTCATCCTCATCCAGCTCACCCCTCCCGTTTAATCCTCCCTCTTCCTTCCGACCTCCCCTATTTACTTTTTTTCTCCTTTTATTACCCATCAAGTCTGCAATCACGTAGCAACCCTCCATCTGACAACCGCAATATCACGTCACAGATAGTGACAGTACGCACGAACCTCGTAAATATAATCGCTCTTAACTTTAAAATGTCTAGTGTTAAAAAAGTTTAAACTTTTAAATAAAAAGCAACATCGCATACACCAGTGATATATGTACTGAAAAAGCAAAGGGACGAGGGACAACTAAAGAGAGCTAAGGGAGAAAATAAATAAAATAAAAATGAATTTCAGTAATACACCCCAACGACTTTTCTACGAGCTCATGAAAAAATTATCTACACTTTTCCTGGTACTCCTTTCTATCGGTTGCATCTCACTTAAAATAATAATAATGATAGTATTTATTTATTTATTATTATTATAATACACACTAGGGCAAAAGTGTACGGCTCTGAGGTTGTAAGTAACTTGCCAGGTAACGCCTTTCTGGCAAACTATTCCCTCGCGGGCTTGACCGGTTAACGACGACTGGCCTACCTCGTAAATCAGCTGAAATTCGCAGTTGTCCCTCTACTATTTTATGGTTTAATCCACCAGACACCAGACGCCAGACACATACTGAGGGACACTTTCGCCTTTATGCTCAGTTTATTTTTTTTACTACGCTGTGATACAAATTCCTTCTTTTTGCATAAATATCAAGGACGATATTGATACAAGGATTTTTTAATATTTAATTAGCTTCATTAATTATTAATAAATTATTTTTAAATTAACAATTCAACTGTAAAAATTTCAAACCGAAAAAATTCTTGTTAAGAAATTTTTATTTATCAATTTAGCTCATTTTTTATCTATATTAGCATCAGATAAATATATTAAAGAATGTTTTAATAGTTAATAAAATTCTATTTGACCATTAAATCAAATGTCATTGTTAAAATTATAATTAGAAATTTTTTATAAACCTACAACTTGAAATAAATAATAAAAAGTGATGATAAATGAATTTATTATTAAAAAATTATTTTATCGTTGTTTTTAATATTCATTTTCTTTTTGAAAAAATATAGAAATTAAATTAAAAAAAAATAGTTAATCATTTTAAATATTTAATAATTCACCAGGCTTTTTGTACACGGAAAGAAATACATTGCGGATATCCCTATGTCGCTGCAGAGCATTGCTATAATTCCTATGAGTATAGGAGTATCTACTATACTGTATAGTACCAGAATTGTTGCGTCTATTACACGGGCGCATAGTAGGTTTGACGTGACAGCATTGCCGCCAGCCCCATACTGCATCGCACATCTCGCAATGCTACTAGTTTTTCCCGCGATGCTACTTGGCACGACAATCAATAACTCTATCAAATTATGGCCAATATTTTATGGGTACAGGTACTATATCGACATAAAAATTTATAAATTAGTAAATAAACGTAAAGAAAATAAACGTGTGTTAACAAGTGTAACGAGTATAAATATAGTAACAAGTATAAATATAACGCAATAAATAAACGTAATGAATATAATATATTGATTTGATTTTGTTGAAATAGTAAGTACTATCATTCAATCAAATACATCTCTAATAATTAATATAATAAAAAAATCATCAAAATAAGTAAACTAACCTAAATTTATGTGATATTTTTTCTAGATAAGAGGTGGTATTGTTTATTTTATTCAGATTTAAAATTTTGTTGTGACTCGAAAGGTAATCGCTGGGAATGGTAAAACTTACATTCCAAAACGTTGGATTTAATATAAATTCATTATTAAAAAAAAAAAATATTGTAATATATCAATAAGAATTGGAAATAAATAATTAGAAATCGCTGTATAATAATTAGAAATAAAAATAAATTAAAAACAATGTTTATTCTAATTTCATACGCCAAGTTTTTTATTTTTCTCTTTTTAATAGAAGGATTTTTTTATATTTAATAAGCTTAATTGACGGTTAATAAATGATTTTTTAACATCATACGATTTAATAAATATTTGTTAACAGGTAAAAAATATTTATTAACAGTTAATAAGTAATTTGTTTAGTACAATTTATTAACCGTTAATAAATATTTATTAATAGTTAATGAATATTTGTTAACTGTTGAAAAATATTTATTTAATATAAAACGCAAAAATAGCAATTTTCTTTTGACACTTTTTATAACCTTATAGCTACTGAAATACATGATATTAATTTAATAAATAAATTATCGTTTTTAATACTTGGAAATATAAAAGATAATTATGAGCTGTAATAGAATTTGGTATTTTATAATAAACGTTATTATAACATAATATAATTAATGCAAATAATTTATAAAGATGATTTTTATTTATAATCAATATTTATATCATATGAAATTGCAGGCGGAACAAAGTCTATAAAGTCTTTATAAAGTCTTTATTAATTGTTAATAAATATTCGTTAAATATAAATAAATATTTATTAACCTTTGATAAATCTAATTTCCTCCCAAATAAATATTTATTTAATGTTGAAAAATATTTATTAAAATTTAATAAATTAAATAATTGTTTTCAAATAAATTAAATTATTAATAGTTAATAAATCCTTTTATCAATCCTTTTATTTAATCAATTAAACTAAATTTGTTACAACTCCAATATTAGCATAAGAGATATAACAATAATGCATAGACTGTTCTGCTAGGAGCATCGTGAATGTCGCCAGTCACTATGGGGCTGACGACCATAGTGACATTGGCGCATCGGCTATAACTATTGTCGATATTACTATTCCCACCATAGCCAAATCATCTATGCTGACGATTTTTTATCCAATGAAAAATCTTCTAAACCATACAGTATGGTGCTCACACCCATAGTGACATAGTGATATCCGCAATGTATTTCTTTCCGTGTAATAATCTCAGTACTTACACAAATTACTTCTCAGCAACTGAAAATATAAAATCCTTAAGTTTGCAACTAAAAGTACCGATTTCCAATTTAATATTGATACATTCCTATTGAAAACTCCGATTTTCAGCAAACTTTCCAACTAATTATTTATAATGAATATTTTAAATGTCCGAGGGAACTTTTCCTCCGGCTATTTATGCTCTCGTATCAAAAGTTTGCTTTTTAACGATTTTCCATATTAAATTACCGCCATTATTATTTATATATTCGAAATTCCTTCTATTTCTAAACTTCGCGGTTTTTTGCTGGCAATTGAATTTTCAATAAAAAAAAAAAATAAATGTTTAATCGGTGGAATGAAAGTTTGGCAATTATGGTTGGTTGATAGCCATGGTTATTGCACAACATCAATTAACACAGTATAAAAACAATAATTTCGGTATGCATAATTATTTTACGCAAAGTATCATATATCGGCAATTATTATTTATTTAATAAAGCAATTTTATTGTTATTAACAAATTAATGATTCTATTATAATATTTTTAGATTAATTATTACTTATAAAATTAATTAATTAATAAAATTGATTAAAAAACAATTAAAAAATTTTTTTTTAACAATTTGATATTTTATTTACAAAAAATGAATAATTTTTTAACTTGATTAAAAAAAAATGAAATTCTTAAAAACAAATTTGTTTTTCCAAGAATTTTTTTTTAAATCAAATTAATTTTTCTAATTACTAAAAAATCTGAAATAAAAAATTCCAAAACTTCTTAATGATTCCAGAACTTCTAACCTTCCGACGTCACAATTCTTCACGTAACAAAAAAAAATGCAATTAAGCACATTCCGACATTGAAACTGCTTAATACCGGCACAATAGTGATTGTCTGAAGAGAGTTTGATATAAAAAAATAGCGTGACAACTCGGATCTGAATCTCGCGGGGTTTCTTAATCAAAACCTTCAAATCTGATTAAACTCTCAGCAATCACGCTATCTCTAGTATAAAAGGAAAGAATTTTGCGCCCTGGACAAGTGAGTTGCGGAAAAGTCACCGCGTCTCACTTCAGTAAGAGTTCGATTGTCCCTCCCTCAGAAGTTTCTATCAAAAATTCTAAATTATTCTATTACCGAGGGATAGCGACCATTTCACTTGGCATTAGAGAGTGTCAATAATAAAATAAATAATTACCAGCAGAACAAGATGTACTTGAACGATAGCAGCGTAATCAGTCCGATGCAAGCCTTTGTCGGGGGAGTGCCCGGGATCGGAGTCGGAGTCGGGTGAGTTCATTCCAGCTGATTATTTTCTTTTATAATCACCCGTATTGTGTCCGCTGAATGAACCGACGGACGAACGGATGGACCGAAGAATGGGTCAACTCTAAATACCGGCTGGAAGGACGGACAAATTGCCGCTATACTCCCTCACGTTCCAGATCAAGGGAAAATACAAGTACCAGATCGGAAATAAAAGACCGAATGTCCGACCTTAAAGTTTTACCAGACAAATAATTAATTAAATGAATATTATCGAGGTTAATTAATCACCGACAGAAAAGGCGGACCAATAATTTTACGTTCTAATTGGAGCATTGTCTGTTTAATTTATTTCAAAAGTGATCTTGCTTTAATTTGTGTTCCCGACGTGGAGAGTCGTTTGTCACGGTGCTCGCTTTTATTTAAACTTTTTTATCCAGAATTTATATTGTTTTCCTCTGGTTCTGGTTTTTAGTTAATTATTTACAATAAGAGATGACGTCGAGTGGTTTACACCGAGCCAGAATCAGAATCGAGGGCTCAATGCTCGGTGACTTTGATGTCCGTCACGGAGATTTATATTATTATTAAACGTACCGGGTGCTATTATTTGGTTTTATTTTTGTGGGCGTTTTTTATATTTATGTAATGTTGCGGCTGGGCAAATTCGCGCTTTCAGGCTTTCAGCGATCCATGATTTCAGTTTGTTTTATCGTTTTATTCTTGGTACTGCTATCCTGTTCACGTGAAATACAATATATTTACGAAGCGTTCGTTGGTTTCGCGGCGGCATTCGTGATACCGCGGTTTCATCATTTAACAGCCATTATATCAGATGTTATTTCTGTCGTAAAATATTACGGCCTTTACCTGTTTAGTTGCATTGATTCATCACCTGTAATTTACGTATTGATTGTTTTTATTTTTATTTTATTTTAATATCAATGTTTATTTATTTTTTTTATCAAAAAAAAAAAACATGTGCGATAAAATATTAATAAATTGAACTTGAAGTTATTTTTTTTTAATTAATAATAATAATAATTGATATTTTTATTTATTTAAAAAATTTTTTGAACTGAATAAATTATAAAACAATTTTTATTTTTTTTTTATTATTAATGATAATAATTGTAAAAATTTGAAGCAATTTTTGGGAAAAAAAAATTTTGAGCTAAAAAAATTTATAATTTTAATTTTAAAAGTTAAAAAAAAAAATGACAATTTAATTTAAATTATAACAGAAATGTACAACAGATGCAAGAAAGACTGCTGGGATGGAACATCCCGCCGGAATATTCAGATCTAGTCCATCCTTATTGGCGAGGATTTTTAGCACCCGGGCGGTATTGGCACATCGGCTTTGCCCTGATTTATTTTATGTTAATGGTCATGTCATTTGTTGGTAATGGCTGCGTTGTTTGGATTTTTACCACGTAAGTTTGTTTATTTAATTAGCGAATTAAAATTTTATTGTTATTAGCCCCGTTTATTTCAATAATCGCTGATTCTCGCTAAAATAACATTATGGATTATTCTTCGATATATATATATATATTCTATAGATTTTCCAGCCATTCAAATTGTGCAATAGCTTATAGTACAATACAATCCAAAACATTTATAATTATTGTAATAATCACAACAACCGGATGGATGTATTTAATTACAGTTAATTCAAATCCTGGTTTATAAAGATTTTAATTCTCGACCTACTTTGAATAATAACAATAATTAAAAATAATATTTGAAAAGTAATTTTCATCCGACAGTTTCAAAATTTAATTTGTCCAAAAATAATTTTCTTCATATTTATTTCACCAATAATTTCTTGAGCTTGAAACTGTTGTCTTATCAAACAAGTAACACCTAAAATATTTATTAGTGTCTTAATAAAAAATTAATAACATCCTGTGATCAAAATTTTAATGTTTCCGCCCATCACCAATTTAACATTTAATAATTTAAATTTATGAACCTAAATGACAAAATAATTTGCCGATAAAAAATAACAGAATAAAAAATTTTTTTCCAGATCAAAATCATTGCGAACTGCGTCAAATATGTTTGTTGTAAATCTCGCGCTATTTGATATCCTAATGGCACTCGAGATGCCATTATTGATAGTAAATAGTTTTCTAGAGCGTCCTGTTGGCTGGCAGCTAGGTTGTGACATTTATTCAGCCCTCGGCAGTGTTTCTGGGATCGGTTCGGCCATAAACAACGCAGCTATTGCATTCGATCGATATAAGTACGTACAGTCTCACAATAACAATAATAATTATCAGTGTAATTCATAATTCAAATCCTTGGCGATAATGATAATGACAATGCTGATAATCTTTGTGATTTAAATTAATAATAGTTAATAAAAACCTTTCAGAACAATTTCCTGTCCAATCGATGGACGGCTGAACAGCAAACAGGCGGGAGTTATCATCGCCCTGACGTGGTTCTGGACTATGCCGTTCACCATTTTGCCGTGGATGCGTGTCTGGGGACGATACGTGCCGGGTATCAAAAATAATGTCAATTTTTAGCCTTATTCTTCTTTCATTATATTCCACTTATACAATCGATAATTCAATTTAAATTTATCGACCCGCTTGCTTCACGGCAGCACATAAATTAACATTTTTATTTTTTAAACAAATCAGAGGGCTTTCTCACAACTTGCACGTTCGATTACTTGTCGGAGGATCAAGACACCAAAGTATTTGTCGGGTGCATATTTATTTGGTCTTACTGTATTCCGATGACTCTTATTATTACTTTTTACTCGCATCTCATTAAGTCTGTTCGGAAACACGAGAAAATGTTGCGTGAACAAGTGAGTATATTTTTATTTTTATTTATTATTATTATGAAATTTTTTTTGGCAATTAAGTCGACATTGAAATAAATAAACCATTTTTTATAATATTTTAATTTTTTATTCATTAAAAGAAAAGATTTTTTTTTTTTTAATAATTTTTGCCTCTAATTAATAAAAAAAAATGATTCAAAATATAAAATATTATAACTTTTTTTTTTAATTAAAGTATGATATAAAATCAAAAGGATAATTATTTAAATATGGACTGAATTGTCAGAAAAAAAAAATTTCTAATGAATTTTTGATAAGTCATAAAATATATGAATTATAATTTACAAAAATTCTTAAAATATAATACTATTATGATTAGAATAAAAATTAAAAAAATTTTTACAGGCCAAAAAAATGAACGTTAAATCTCTGCAATCAAATTCCGGGGACAAAGAAAGGAGCGTTGAGATGAGAATAGCCAAAGTAGCATTCACTATTTTCTTTTTATTCGTTTGCTCTTGGACTCCTTACGCAGTTGTAACAATGACTGTTGCTTTTGGAAACCGGTTTGTAAACATAACACTTTTTATACTTATCAATTCATAAATTTTCTATATACTTTAAAATATATATCAATTGTAATTAAAAAAAAAAATTACCAAACAGGTTACAAATTTTTTATATAATTAAATATATATTTAATACATCCTAAATAAATTTTCTGTATGTTTGTAATTAATTAATAATTATAAATAATAATACTAAAATAAGCTTAGTAATATTTAGCCATGATTATAATGAATGATAATTATTAACCGTTGAATATAATTATAATTAAAATAGGGATGCATTAACACCTTTCTCAACAATGCTTCCGGCTCTGTTCGCCAAAACAGTATCCTGTATCGATCCCTGGGTCTATGCGATCAATCACCCGAGGTAATTAATATTTCAGCTGAATTCTCTGCTGCTAAATACTGTAAATAAATTAATATCCTTTTATGGAATTCACGCGTTACATCTGCTGTCTAAATTATTGCACCGTTTTCGACAAATTGGCATTCTATTTTTAAACCACTCATACATTCTATTTTATTTTTTAAATATTTATCTTCATCAAATAACTACAGTTAAATTTTTTTTTTTATTTATAAACTGATGGACGGTAATAGTTATTAATATTTTATTCCTAAACGCTTTAAATTTGTACAAGGACTAGAGTTTTAATGTCAAACAAATTAATTTAATTTAAAATTTGACCTTATTTTATCATTACTGACATTAACAAACCGTAATTAAATTTTAAATTTTAATAATTAATATTCTTTAATGATTATTCAATAGAGATGTTACAATTTTCGTACTAAAATAATTAAATAATTTAATTTATAAGCCAGAGGAAAATTGAGTTATCAATTTATTGATTTTAATTTGATATTTAAAGACTCATTAATAAAAATTAATTTTTAATGAAAATAATAATAAATAATAATTATATCAATTGATAAAAGGTACCGACTGGAGCTGCAAAAACGATGCAAATGGATGGGAATCCACGAACCGATGCCGTCGCAGTCGGACAGCGTGTCAGCAACAACAGAGAGGGTGAGCGACGAGTCATAATTTACCGACGCAAGCTCAAGTAGGCAAAGTACCGGGGGTGCTCGAATTATATACCGAGGGCTGGTTTGAGTTACTTGGGGATGAAATCGACGGGTGGTCGACGGCTCTGCATTGCCAACCACCACTCTTGCAGACCGCCGGCCAACCATTGATCTTCACTACTTACTATCTCTTACTCATTACTTACTACTTAATCGAGCGATAATACTGTATAAATTGTACATTGTATTCGACGGACGTTTAATGAAGCGCCTAATTGTTTTACTTTAATTATAAACTCTTATGTTTTTGATTCTGTGAGTCTACTCGCTGGATATGAGACATTGTATACAAGTTTAATCATAAAATAAATATTTCAAAGCAATTTATGTGTGATGGCTTTTATTTTTATTTTATCATAAAAAAATAATAATTTCTTTGAAATTTTAAACATAAATTATTGTTATTATTATCTTTATTAATAAGAGAATGAGAAAAATTTTGTGTCTAGGATAGTTATATGATAAAATCGGATTTCTTAGTGTCATTGCAAAGGTTTTAACTTGAATTTGTTCCCTTCAAGGTTTCATGTCATTCTTACCGATAGTCAATTTCTTATGATAAATATTAAGGCTGCATTTGAAAATGCCCTATCTCTAGATACATAATTAAGAAATGACCTTGTATCTTGTGAACTATTGACATTTTTAAAGATATAAGCTCATCCCGATGTTACACTCATTGAGACCTTTCATTTTAATACCCACATGCATTTTTGATATATTTATATATATTATATATATGTATATATGAAAAATATATCAAAAATGCATGTGGGTACTCAAATGAAAGCTCTTGATGAGTGTAACATCGAGATGAGCTTAGATCTTTAAAAATGTCAAAAATAAAAAAATGACTTTGTATCTTGTGAACTATTGAAATTTTTAAAGATATAAGCTCATCCTGATCTTACACTCATTAAGACCTTTCATTTGAGTACCCGCATCAATTTTTCATATATTTATATATATTATATATATTATATATATGTATATATGAAAAATATATAAAAAATGCAAGTGGGTACTCAAATGAAAGCTTATCAAAATGCGTGTGGGTACTCAAATGAAAGCTCTTGATGAGTGTAACATCGGAATGAGCTTATATCTTTATAAATGTTAATAGTTAAGAAAGTACAGTACACTTTAACAAAAGTCATTATATAATTAAGCAAGTTGCTAGTCATTAATTTAAATGTTAATATGGATAAAAATTAAATTTCAAAAAAAATCATACCAGTTTTTTTTATCCATAGAATTTTTTATGAGAGTAGCAATAACGTTATTGATACAAAAAAAAAAGGTTGATATGATTGAAGAGGTAAAAAAAAGTCAAGCTTGCAGTGGAGCCGGTGCAATTCATATTGTAAAATATCTGTTTAGTATAAAATAAATATCGAAAAAGATATTACAAATTTTTATTTATTGCATTTATTGTTTCGATCAATTTTATTAGAGTGACTTTTTTTACTTTTAAAGCAGCAGGGTCGTACCGTACATTTCAGAATAGTTAAATCAATTCTTGTAGACTCTACTTGGTATTTTAGAGTTATTGCTCATGGGTAGCTCGTAAACCCGGGAGCGAATGGTCTCGACTCACGCGGATGGGATACGACCTTTCTGCAGTTTTCGACTCCGCTGCTTACTCCTTTCCGTTGTCAGGTTATTTATGCAGGACATGAGTTATTCACAGTAAACAGGATTGAGGACTAATTCTGATACCGATGAATTTTCTGCATTCTTTATTCTATTCTACTTCGGTCTATCAGCTGTTGTTTCAATATTTTAACCTTCTAACAGTGACTAATACTAATACTAATATTGGAGCTTTATTAAGTCTAAGTAACAAAATAAGATAAACTATCTCGTATGTCAGTAACTGGTTTACTTTAAAAGCTTTTGTAGTGTGTGCTTACTCGACAAAAGATGCTATATCCACAAGCACGTAACATTGATCGACTATCGGCAAACCCGTTAAATAAAAACATCCTTGGTGAGATGAATTCAGTGATTTTTAAGCTAAATCCAAGCTCTAGTGAGTAAATATTTAATCTTATTATCTTTTAAAAATATTTTATAGTAAAAAAAAAATGTAATAGTAATAATCTATATTATTAAACAAATAAGAAAATTTTTGTGTCCAGGACAGTCTCATAATAAAATCGGTTTTTTTTTTTTATATAATTTAGTGTCATTGCAAAGGTCTTGATTTAAATTTGTGCCCTTTCAAGGTTTCATATCATTATCACCGATAGTCAATTTATTATGATAAGTATCTAGGCTGCATTCGAAAATACTCTATCTCTAGATACATAATTACGAAATGACCTTGTATTTCGTGAACTATTGACGTTTTTTAAGATATAAGCTCATCCCGATGTTACACTCATCAAGAGCTTTCATTTGAGTACCCACATGCATTTTCATATATTTTTCATATATACATATACATAATATATATAAATAAATGAAAAATTGATGTGGGTACTCAAATGAAAGGTCTTAATGAGAATAACATCGGGATGAGCTTATCTCTTTAAAAACGCCAATAGTTAAACACTAGTGACTGCAAGGTTGCTAGTAATAATAATTTTAATAAATGACTTCCGTAATTTATAAATAAATAATTCAGGTCACAAAAGTTATTTTAACAAAATACAAGTCATAAAATATTAAAATCCTTTACTGATTTATGAATTTAAATTAATTAAAGTAATTATAAACTGGTTAAGGTTGCACGGACAGTACCCCGTAAGTCATAGTAGAATCTAAATTTTTTTTTCATTAAACTTAAAAATTTAAATACGAAAATTCATTACTATAATTTAATCGTTACCTTACATTATTATTAAATAAAATAATTTAATAATTTAATTAACAACAACAATAAATAGTCAACGTTTGACTCAAGTATTTTTTCACAAAACTTGGACCTGACAACACCGCACTTAACAGCTGTTTATATTTATCTCACTGTGTAGTGTTGAGTTGAAAAACATAACCCATAAAAATACACAGGAATTACTAAAATTCAAAATTCGCGCGTTCTATTCTGTGCAACGTTGCCACACTGCGCTGAATCACGTGGTTTGTTTATTTTTAAATATGTCGGCCTGAAATTTTCGTGAATTTCTCATCGTTTGCATTAAAATATCTTTAAAAGCCTTCGGCAGAAAATTTTCATTTTATTTTTAACGTATTCTACGAAAGTTGATTGACTGAAATAAAAGTTTTTTGTTTTTTAATCTTCCTATGAGGCAGTCACATAAATCGATATATGTGCAATCCGCCAATAGTCTCTATAGGCTACATGTTAAATTTCAATTTTTTAATAATTTATTAAAGGATAACCCTTCGACAGATCTATTCAAAAAAATTAATTTAGACGTATGAGATAGCAATTCATAACATATCAAAAAATTAGCTTCTGATCTTCAAAAGTGCATTAGTGTCCGTACAACCTTAAAGTATCGAATAACCAATTACATAAATAGTTAACAAAGCTACCAACTAAAATTTTGTTATGAACTAATAATAGTAAATCCGATATAAAACTTCTAGGATATTAAATAAATAAATGAAGTAATAAAGTAACAACTATAACTTACAGCTTACTAAATATAAAATCGATAGTTCGATGGTTCGAGTAATTAACTTTTAAAAGGTAAAAAAAAAAAAATTATTAACGAGAGTCTTATAACAATGGATGTAACTTGAATAAAGAAACAAAAAGATTCTTAATTCACAATAGACTGGATAGTAGAAAGACGGGAGCTCTTCAGCTGTAAATCTCCACAAGGATCAAAAATAAAAGTCTATTAAAAATTACTCGGGAATAAATAAAGTAAATTCAGTGAGTACAGGCTTTAACGATTTTTCCATCCACTAGTCAATAACATTTTTCGTTAATTTTTTTTTTTTTTTTTCAGAATAGTGTGTTAAAATAAAATAAAAATGTTTCCCGGTACACTAAATTCGATTCTACTTTACGTTTAAATTTAAAGCTCGCAACTGTTACACTGACCCTTTTACACTCACCGTTTACCGTTCACCCTTTGTGCTAGGGAAAAAAATAGTAAAAATAAGTTACAAGAAATACATTATCGCACTTATATATATATATATATACAGTCAAGTTCGAGATAAGTATCGGGCTTGAGGATAAAGGGTTGAGCTTTTTTATTTTTAATTTTATGACACATTAATCTGCGAGTATTTTTTATTTTCTGTTCCGCGTGCTTCGAATAATTGATCGATTTATCAAAGTTTTTTGCTAAATTATTGATAAGGCACTAAGTAATTTACAATTACACTGATGGAAGGATTTTTTATTACTAAAAAGTTTTTTTTAATTTTTAATAAGCATTAGATGATTCAATAAATATTTATTAGCGTTTAAAAATCTTTATTATTAAGAGAATAAGCGAAATTTTGTAGCCAGTGTATTTATATGATAAAATGGGTTTTTATGTTTAAATTTGGTATCGTTGGAAAGATCTTGACCTGGAGTTGTGCCTTTTCAGGGTTTCATATCATTTTTACCAATAGTCAATTTATGATGGTAAGTATTCAGGCTGCATTCGAAAATGCTCTATCTCTAGATAAATAATTAAGAAATGACCTTGTATCTTGAGAACTATTGACATTTTTAAAGATATAAGCTCATCCTGATATTAAACTCATCAAGACCTTTCATTTGAGTACCCACATCAATTTTTTATATATTTATACATATTATATATATGTATATATTGAAAATATATCAAAATGCATGTGGGTACTCAAATGAAAGCTATTGATGAATGTATTATCGGGATGAGCTTATATCTTTAAAAACGTCATTATTTAATAAAGTAAAATGTTATTTATTCAAAGTTCACAAGTCACGGCAGTCACATAGTGACTGCAAGGTTGCTAGTAATTTATTAAATGTAATTTATTTAGGATTAATAAATATTTATT